TTTAAGTGTTAATTTTAGTGTTGTGTTAGTATAGGTTACGTAAATTGTTAAGAATTCTTAACTTCAAGATGTGTGGCATCAATCAAGAAGACGAACACCAACAAGGTAAGTTGAGGTTTCTAGTTGAATATTTAATAATTATATGTGGCAAGGCAATTCAAATTATGTTGTTTGTAGTATAAAAATAGTAGGAAATGGTCACTTTTGGACTCGTAGGTGAAAAAGTAGCATCCGAAAAATGTGATAATCCGGCTGGGGGTCCTTCCCATATAGTCCAGATGATCGAGTAGAGACAGTGCTTTTATGTTCAAATACCCAAAAATAAAAAATAAAAACTGAAATTCTTTGCAAAGAATTCGGGCGGGATTGTCACTAGTCGGGAGCCACTAGTAAACTGAGGCACGATCGCTGTGCCACCGTGCCCTAGATTGGCCACACACGTATCAACAAACTCGTTTCCCGAGAAAAAGCTCTTAACCCGATTCAAATTTTCCGAAGAAATTGGATTCTTAACCTGAAAAGTTCGTAAATAGGGGCATTTGTAAGCCGAGGTGTCACTGTACGTCAGAAATGTTAGCCCAGCTTTGGGATATGTTTAACCCTGTTAGAAATGTTAGTTCTGCTCTGGGATACGTTTGGCAGAAATATTAACTCTGTTCTAGAATAACTGATACAGTATAAAGAAATTATGTTAATATTATATAATTTGTATCGGTGAATAAAGTACTGTAATATTTCTTTCTGTGTAGAGTCATCCGGCTCCCTGGAGCTATCGGAACGATATGCGCATATTAGTCCAGGATCATGTCAATTGGAGTTCAGCCTGTCGAGGACCATGAGTCAGAACCTGGCCCCCCTCAGGCAAAGGGAGCAATGACCTATGGAAACCCCCATGTATTTGGGGGCATTCCATGTCTGCAATCGACTGAAGTTAGCACCCAGAAAGGTAGGCATAACAAAACAAACCCCACATGGTAAGAAAAATTGCAACTGAAGTCCGAGCAGTGAGGCAGAATTCCCCTTATCTATAGAAACAAGCAAACAAGCAATTGTCATACACCGTCACCGTGCCGCTTGTCCGCGCAGCCCTCCCTTCCTCGGGAGTGGGAAGGGGGAGCTCATGACCCAAGTTTGTTGACTAATGCTCTCGTGGGTGGTCATTGACTCTGGGCCCCATTCTTTGGCAGTATTTGTACCTTCGTATCTGCTGTTTGTGGTGTGGTGGCTAGGTGTAATTAGTGTACTGGGGCTGCATGGGCATATCCTTAACCCTTAAACTGCGCATGGCGTATTTATACGCCACGAGTAACATGTCCCACAGTGCGCATGGCGTATATAAACACCAAAGGGTGGCAGGCACGATTCAAATGGCCCACGGCTACATGGGGTTCACATTAGCTTCCTCAGAGCTCTTATAAACAGATGCCATGTTTAAAAAAAATCGTGGGTAATATTCTCCGGTGTGAGAGCCACAGTACTGTGGGAGCAACCAAGGCTGGCGCACGCAACATGAGCTGACAGCATTGCTGTTCAGCTTGTGACCACAGCATCACCTAAAAATGTCAAAATAAAAATGTAACTGCTATTATTTAGCACTGACAGTAATACAGATGACCCCCTGACTGTGATAAAAATGACCAGGATTGTGATAATAGCAGAAGTGTTGTGATAATTAGCACTGTGAGAGGAGTAATGCTGAGGGACGGAGGGAGATAGCATCGTTTACTTTGTGGTCACCTGTTATTGTCTGCATTCACCATACCAGCTCAGTGGTTCTCTATGGTGAACACAAATGTAGATACTTATATATAATGTGCATATATAGTGTAATAACACTGCAAACAGGATTGTTGGGGAGAAATTTTAGTGCACCTGACCTTGAATGGGTGAGGGAGGCAGCCGCCAGCTGACTGTGTGTAGCGACGTCACTTAGTGCCTGAACTAACTATATCAGCTTAGCTGTACAGTTGTGGTAAACAAAACATGTAGATATTTATATATAACGTCTGTATATAATGTAATAACGCCACAAACGGCATTGTTGGGGGAGAAATTTTAGTGCGTGTGACCTTGAATGAGTGAGGGAGGCAGCCGCCAGCTGACTTTGTGTAGCGATGTCTCTTAGTGCCAGAACTAACTATATCAGCTTAGTTGTACAGTTGTGTTGAACAAAACATGTAGATCCTTATATATATAACGTCTGTACTGTATATAGTGAATAAAATAGAAAACAGGACGGTGGTAGGAGAAAGTGGGCGAGTGAGGCGTTGTTGAGGGAGTGGCTGGCTGGTGTGTGGCGGTCACTCCTCGTTGCTTTTTGACTCATAATACCAACTTAGTGGTTCGTTATGGTGAATAAAACTTGCAGATACTTATATATAACCTATGTATAAAGTGTAATAACAGTAAAACTATTTGTTTATTGTTTTATGAACATAATAATTGAATCACTAATATGCACACCATACTTTTGAGTATAGCGATGATTCACCCTTTTTATTATATAAATCTATCACACTACACGCTGTTGAATAATATTACTGCAAAAAACTAAGAAAAAATCAATCAGACATTGAAATAATTATGTAATAATATCTTTGTGGCAACTCCCACCTGTCAGCTCAGATGACGCTGACGGTCTCTGACGACCGCTCTGTCAACGCCCACATTTTGCCAGACTTCCTCGGCCTATTGCGGCCAAAAGATGTCACCTACGATTTTTTTTTATTTTTTCCGTGCTCAGGGAACACAAATTAACATTTTTAGAAAACGAAATAATTTTTAAAAAATTTTCTTTCTTGCGCACAGGGGTGCAAATCTCCTCAGGACCCCTTAGCAGCTTAAGGGGGTCTTCCCTGCTGCCATTTTTGTAGATTGGAACTATGTTAGCCTTTTTCCACTCAACAGCTACAACTAAAATAAATAAATAAATATAAATATGTTTATTCAGGTAAGGTATATACATACAAGTGATGTTACATTAATGGATTGATATATAGATAGAGCTAGTACATACAATGCCTAAAGCCACTATTACGCAATGCGTTTCGGGCAAACCCTGAAACTCCTGTAAACAGAGATGCCTGAAAAATCAGTTGAAGTGGAATGCTGAACTCAGGTGCACATTCTCTCAGAACCCATGGTGAAACTCCATCTGGACCAACTGCTTTGTTCTTACTTAGCTCCTTGAGCATTTTTTCCACTTCATCTCTAGACACCTCTATGTGCTCTATGTTGTTCTCTGGAATTCATATTGTGTCTGGTTCCCTGAAGATTTCATTTTGTACAAACACATTTTGGAACTTTTCGTTTAACCCTTCCACTGCTCAGGGGTCCTGAGGACATTTACACCCCTGTGCGCAAGAAAAAAAAATAAAATTTTTTTTTTGTCTTCTAAACATGTTAATTTGTGCCCCCTGAGCACTGGAAAACAAAATCGTAGGTGACATATTTTGGGCGCAATTGACTGAGGAAGTCTCGCAAAAAGTGGGCGTTGACAGAGCGGTCGTCAGGGCCGGTCAGCATCACCCACGCTGACAGGTGGGAGTTGCCACAAAGATATTATTACCGAATTGTTTCAATGTCTCCGAGTGATTTTTTCTTAGTTTTTTTGCAGTAATATTATTCAATAGTGTGTATTGTAATATATTTATATAATAAAAGTGGTGAATAATCGTTATACTCAAAAGTATGGTGTGCATATTAGTGATTCAATTATTATGTTCATAAAACAATAAACAAATAGTTTTGCTGCTATTACACTCTATACACAGGTTATATATAAGTATCTGCATGTTTTGGTCACCATAACGAACCACTAAGTTGGTATTGAGAGTCGAAAAGCAACGAGGAGTTACCACGACACACACCAGCCAGCCACTCGCTGCCACTCCCTCAACACACGCACTAAACTTTCTCCCCCAACAATACCATTTGTGGTGTTATTACACTATACAGACGTTATATATAAGTATGTATATATTTTGTTCACCACAACTGTACAGCTAAGCTGATATAGTTAGTTCAGGCACTAAGAGTTGTCGCTATACACAGCTGGCGGCTCCCTCACTCATTCAAGGTCACACGCACTAAACTTTCTCCCCCAACAATAGTGTTTGCAGTGTTATTATCCTATATACACATATTATATATAAGTATCTACATGTTGTATGCACCGTAACTGTACACCTAAGCTTGTAGTGCGCCCAAAGAGCATAGCGGCCACCCTCTAAACAGCTAGACAAATCGTGCAGACGACGTCACCTCCGTCACCCAAATGGCTCCTCCCAGCATAATCCTTTTGCTGTTATTACACTAATACACACATTATATATAAGTATCTACATTTGTGTTCACCATAGAGAACCACTGAGCTGGTATGGTGAATACAAACAATAACAGGTGCCCACACAGTCAGTAAACGATGCTGTCTCCCTCCGTCTCTCAGCATCACTCCACCCACAGCGCTAATTATTACAACAATCCTGCTATTATCACAACTCTGGATATTTATATCACAGTCAGGGGTCATCTGTAATATAGTCATCACTAAATAATAACAATTATATATTTACTTTGACATTTCTCGGCGATGCTGTGATCACAAGCTGAACAGCAATGCTGTTCACTCATTTTGCGTGTGCCAGCCTTGGTTGCTCCAACAGTACTGTGCCTCTCACACCTGAGAATATTGCCCACGATTTAAAAAGAAAATGGCGTCTGTTTACAAGAGCCCTGAGGAAGCTAATGTGTAGCCCCGTGTAGCCGCGGGCCATTTGAATCAGGCCTGGCACCCTATGGCGTATATATACGCCATGCGCACCATGGGACATGTTACTCAGGGCGTATATATACGTATATGGCTTGTGGTCCTCGGTAGGCTGAACTCCAATTGACTGATGACCCCAGACTAATATGCGCATATCAATCCGATAGCTCCAGAGAGCCGGAGGGACTCACCCAGAAGATAATTTTTTTCGTTGTAAATACATGTAACTTAACCAAATATTCTTTATCCACAGGATAACAACCCAGAGGAATGTTCAGTGTGTTTTAACAATTATGATGACACACTGCTACGGCCTCGCACTCTGCCTTGTGGCCACACATTCTGCTCCCAGTGTATTGACAATGCTATCAAGAATGGTCAGCTGAACTGCCCCAGCTGCCGTGCCCAGCACACTGCCACAGCTGCTACTCAGTTCCTAATCAATTATGGTATGGAGGCCTTTATCAGAAAACTAAAAGGTATGGAAGTTGTGCCAGTGAAAACGGTACCCACAAAACCCAATAAAGCTCCGACCAGAGGCATCAGTAAGAAGTTACGTTCCCTGGTGGAGGAGCAGAAGAGCAGCATCAGCAGCCTCATTACCAGCTGTGAAGAGGTACTGTCCCAGCTGGGTGAGTACCGGGGGCAGCTGGGGGACTGGAAGACTCAACACCTCCAGCTCCAGGACAGACTCTATGCTCTGGTAGAGCAGAACAAGTCAGCAATGAAGCTCTTGGAACTGGAGGATACCAGTGTGGTGGATATGACAACACAAGGAGAGGAAGGGAAGACTCAGCTGCAGGCCATGTTGGGGAGCCTCGACACAGTCAACACAGCACAGGAGGTTGACACAACCATAGACACAGCTGATGAGTGCAGCATGAAGGTAGAAGATTGGCTCCAGAAGTGCCAGGAACTCTTCCCAGATGTCAACACTGTCCACACCTCAGTGAAGGTATGCTGCTGAAGGTCACATTGTTCTCACCCAACTGAGTGTAGTATTGCCTCTATATAAACACTTTTGATATGGAGACACATCAAGATGAGAGTAAACTTTATATATATAGGATGATATGGAGACACATCAAGATGAGAGTAAACTTTATATATATAGGATGATATGGAGACACATCAAGATGAGAGTAAACTTTATATATATAGGATGATATGGAGACACATCAAGATGAGAGTAAACTTTATATATATAGGATGATATGGAGACACATCAAGATGAGAGTAAACTTTATATATATAGGATGATATGGAGACACATCAAGATGAGAGTAAACTTTATATATATAGGATGATATGGAGACACATCAAGATGAGAGTAAACTTTATATATATAGGATGATATGGAGACACATCAAGATGAGAGTAAACTTTATATATATAGGATGATATGGAGACACATCAAGATGAGAGTAAACTTTATATATATAGGATGATATGGAGACACATCAAGATGAGAGTAAACTTTATATATATAGGATGATATGGAGACACATCAAGATGAGAGTAAACTATTATATATATAGTGTAAACTTACTTGTTTTAAACTCCTGTACACTACATGTGGTTCAGTGTAATACAAGTCAACTGTCACTACACTGTGGTCAGCACTCAGTGTACACTACACTGTGTCAGTCAGCACTACAGTGTACACTACACTGTGGTCAGCACTCAGTGTACACTACACTGTGGTCAGCACTCAGTGTACACTACACTGTGGTCAGCACTCAGTGTACACTACACTGTGGTCAGCACTCAGTGTACACTACACTGTGGTCAGCACTCAGTGTACACTACACTGTGGTCAGCACTCAGTGTACACTACACTGTGGCACTCAGCACTACACTGTGTCAGTGCACTACACTGTGGTCAGCACTCAGTGTACACTACACTGTGGTCAGCACTCAGTGTACACTACACTGTGGTCAGCACTCAGTGTACACTACACTGTGGTCAGCACTCAGTGTACACTACACTGTGGTCAGCACTGTTCACTACACTGTGGTCAGCACTCAGCACTCAGTGTACACTACACTGTGGTCAGCACTCAGTGTACACTACACTACACTGTGGTCAGCACTCAGTGTACACTACACTGTGGTCAGCACTCAGTGTGGTCACTCAGTGTACACTACACTGTGGTCAGCACTCAGTGTTCACTACACTGTGGTCAGCACTCAGTGTACACTACACTGTGGTCAGCACTCAGTGTACACTACACTGTGGTCAGCACTCAGTGTTCACTACACTGTGGTCAGCACTCAGTGTACACTACACTGTATTCACCTAGTTTTGCTTGCGGGGGTTGAGCTCTGATCTTTCGGCCCGCCTCTCAACTGTTACTAACTACTAACTAATTTTTTTCTTGGGGAGCCCCTATGGCCCCGGAGCTATCCAGGCTGACATGAATATCCTTAACTTTGGCATCAGTTGATGTGGGTGGAGTTCTAGGCCTACCGGTGACCACGAGCCAGAACCTGGCCCCCTCAGAGAGGCACGAAGAGCAATGGCCTATAGAAATGCACATGTGGTTTTGGAGCATTCTATATCTGCCATCAACCGGGACAGGCACCCAGAAAGGTAAGCACCCCAAAACAAACCCCTGTTCTGGTTAAAATGGCAAAAATAGACAAACGAGTGGACAGAACTCCCCAAATGAAAACTGGCAAACGAGCATGACGTCACACAAGCTGCGCCTCATGTCTGCGCAGCTCCCCCCCCCCCCTCCCCGGGAGGGGGAAGGGGAAGCCCCAGACCCTCGTGCCAACGATCCACACCCCAGTTCTTCGGCTGGTGTGATGCATCGCAGTCGTGTGGCTCCAGCTCCTGACTCTTGTGTTGTGTTGTGCTATGCTTTGGTTCAGTGCTGCTCTTACGGTGGCGTGGGAGCTGGGAGTATTATTCCAAGGTACTCGTGCTGCATGCGCTTAGGGTTCCCTTCCCTAAGTGCCCTGTAAGTACCGCCCTTGGAGCTTGGGGTTATCATCCAGAAGTCACCTTGGGACTACCTCTGTTGGTCTTTTGCTGCTCAGCGACTGATCGCCCCGAGTGTTTGGGGGGGGGGGGTTCCCGCCCTTGTTTACCTTGGGGTAAGTGGTAGAATTTGCACTTGTAGGGGTGCGGGGTACTGCACAGCTAGTTTTCACCTATAACAACAGCTGGCTCTGTTCCCTTTGGGTACGTTGCCATCTTGCGAGGATTTTTTTTTTTTTATTGGGGGGGGGGGGGTCTGCCTCGGTATTACTTTCCCGTTTTACTAGGGGTTGCTTTTGTTTGGTGGTACCCCCTGCTTTGCCCTCGTGAGTGGACACGTCCCGGGGGTTCAGCTTGAGCAGTGTTGTTTGGTCGCTTAGGCGCTGGTTAGCAGTACACTGCCTGGGATTACCCTTAGCAGACCCAGTCTAGTGGCCCTGGGAAACTCCGCGGGGGCACTCGGGTCTGATGGATGTGACCCCTGAGTCTCCTCTCGCTATGTGCGAGTTTGAGGGTTGCTCTGTCCCCTTGTCTCAGGGCGACGCTTATTGTTTTTGCCTCCGTCATGCTGCCTGTTGGGTCGGTGACACATTCGACTCGGAGTCCTTCGAGATTTGTTACTTGTTTGTGACTCAATTCACCCAATCTACAGATGACATTGTTCGGGGTGCAGGCGGCTCGCACGTTGCAGGATAGGTTTAGGTTGTTGCAACGTGTTCGGTTGGTTGCTTCCCCAGATGCCCTGAGGCTGCCCCGTTTTGCTTATAGGGACCCAGACTTTGGGGTGTTGGTCACTTCGGCCTTGGTTCAGTCGCGCCCCCTTGTTCTTTCCCTGCTGTAATTCATTCGGTTCCTTCTTTGGCTCATAAGTGTCTGAGGGCTTCTGGGGCAGGGTTTAGAGGTTTCTGAGATGGGTCGATGGAGGCATTCAAGTCTGTTCCTCCAGCCGTAGCTCCAGGGTCTGACCATTGGGCCCATTCTCTTTCTGCCATTCTGGCCGCCCCGGCTTTTTCTTGTGAGACCGGGGCTTTGGAGGACGACTCGGACTGACGTGGAGGCTCCCAGGGTTTGGAGGGGCTTTGGGCCCCTTGGACCCTTGGAGGGTTGGAAGACTCTCCGAGCGAGGCTTACTGTTACAAGGAGTGGGGTTTTCCTTTCCCCCCTCTGCGTACGAGTTGGATTTGGGTTCGGCACCTCCCCGGGTTCGGTTCCGTGTCCTTGCAGGTCCTTCAGTTCCGTCCTTCCAGAGGTTTTCAGCTTCCCGCGTCTCGCCTGCTGAGGTGCGGGCGGCCATTGCGGCTTACCTCCTGCACGACCCGGAGTATGCCTCCATAATGGATCTATCTTCTTTCAGGTTTGGGGCTTCGTCTCTGTACCGGGTTTGTTATGAGGTTCAGGGTTCATCCTGGCTTATGGACTGCCCTTTGTTCTCGCTGGATGCTTGGGAAGCCTTCTGTCGTACCCACATGCTTGAGTGGCGCGAGGCGTTGACTGTGGTCCAGGTTTACCTGGGGGGACACTTTGAGCACCTTAATGAGTGCCTTTTTGCTCCAGCCCTTCTGCTGGATGTTGGCACGGTTCAGCTTCACGTGCAGGTTCCTTCCCTGTCGGCTGCACTTGTGGCTGAGGACTTGGACTTGCGTGCATGTGGCCTGTTGGCTGCGCTTGTGGCTGAGGACTTGCGCACACGTGGCCTGTTGGCTGCGCTTGTGGCTGAGGACTTGTGAGGACACACGTGGCCTGTTGGCTGCGCTTGTGGCTGAGGACTTGTGCACACGTGGCCTGTTGGCTGCGCTTGTGGCTGAGGACTTGGCGCTGCACTTGTGGTGGCGTGGCCTGTTGGCTGCACTTGTGGCTGAGGACTTGTGCACACGTGGCCTGTTGGCTGCGCTTGTGGCTGAGGACTTGTGCACACGTGGCCTGTTGGCTGCGCTTGTGGCTGAGGACTTGTGCACACGTGGCCTGTTGGCTGCGCTTGTGGCTGAGGACTTGTGCACACGTGGCCTGTTGGCTGCGCTTGTGGCTGAGGACTTGTGCACACGTGGCCTGTTGGCTTCAGTCCTGCGTTTCTTTTCCCTCCTGGAGCTGTCTTCGGATTGGCTTGAGGATGTGGTGGAGGCGCTTGGGGCCGTTCCTTGGGTCTGGTGCTTTGGTCTCGGCTGGTCGTGCGTCGTCTGCACTTTTGAAGCTGTTTGCGACGATCCTGCGGGATGCACTGTCGTGGTTTTTTGCTGCACGTCTCTCGTGTCGACAGGTGGTTTTCGCTGCACGTCTCTTGTGTTGACAGGTGGTTTTCGCTTCCTCCTTGGAATCCGCTTGGGCCTTGGCTCTTAGACTGTCTTTGCCCTTTTGTCTTTTGATGTTTGCGGCCTCTGCGGTCGAGCAATATATGTGGGCAGCTTCTTCCAGCTGCTGCCCAATGTCTGACTTGTTGGTTCTCCGGGGTTCCCGGGTGGGTTCTTCCCGGAGGGGTCGTGCCAGGGCTCGTGGTTCTGCTCGTCGGGTAGGCCACAGGTGCCAGTTTTGGAGCGGTGCCACCTTCGGTCCCGGCTGCACCTGGTGCAGCCAGGTGCAGCCTGGTGATCTTTTTGCGGTGATCGCTCTGTGCGCAGGTCGGATTCTCATAAGGGGCATCGGCCATTTTGCATTTTTTCTCGCGGCCTGCGGTGCCGTTGGGTGGCTCCTCCTCCTTGGGGGGGGGGGGGGGTTAGGGGCTGGCAGGGCAGGCCTCTTCTCCTGCGCTTTGTCAGGTCGTCTTGGAGTGAGTGAGCTTGGGCGTGGTCGAAATGACGACGTCTCTCAGGTGGGTTTCCTGCCGTTTCTGGTTCCGAAATGGGACTGTGTGGACCTGCGGTTCATTCTGGACTTGTCATGTCTGAACCCCTGGGTTTCCTGCCCCTCCTTTTGGATGACCACTCTGCCCCAGGTCCGGCTGCTGGTGGAGCCGGGTGCTTTGATGGTGTCCTTGG